AGCAGAGCATAAATAGGTGTTCATGGTGTAGTACATCATTAGCAGAGCATAAATAGGTGTTCATGGTGTAGTACATCATTAGCAGAGCATAAATAGGTGTTCATGGTGTAGTACATCATTAGCAGAGCATAAATAGGTGTTCATGGTGTAGTACATCATTAGCAGAGCATAAATAAGTGTTCATGGTGTAGTACATCATTAGCAGAGCATAAATAAGTGTTCATGGTGTAGTACATCATTAGCAGAGCATAAATAGGTGTTTACAGGGTAGTACATCATAAGCAGAGCATAAATAAGTGTTCATGGTGTAGTACATGATTAGCAGGGTAGAAATAGGTGTTTACAGGGTGCTCTGCTAATGATGTACTACACCATGAACACCTATTTATGCTCTGCTAATGATGTACTACACCATGAACACCTATTTATGCTCTGCTAATGATGTACTACGAAATAGGTGTTTACAGGGTAGTACATCATTAGCAGGGTAGAAATAGGTGTTTACAGGGTAGTACATCATTAGCAGGGTAGAAATAGGTGTTTACAGGGTAGTACATCATTAGCAGGGTAGAAATAGGTGTTTACAGGGTAGTACATCATTAGCAGGGTAGAAATAGGTGTTTACAGGGTAGTACATCATTAGCAGGGTAGAAATAGGTGTTTACAGGGTGGTACAAACCCTGGAATTTTGGATGCAAAGTGTCACTCAAGAAAGAGCCACACCATCCCGATGTTTACTTCATGAAATACTTTATGGTACAGATGTTGGGTGTCATCAGTCTGGACCCTTTCAATGCCCAATGACACCCAACTTTTTTGAGGTACAAAATAAATGTTACATAGAAAATGATATCTTTAGTAGTTGGATATCAAAACTATTTATTGCACAGGTTTAACTTTGTTTTTTTTTTTGGTAATCACGACCTTATATTTATAGGTAACTTGGATGATCTTAAGAAGAAGGTCTTTATTGTAAAAGAAGGAATTCAATACAGGATTCGAATTGACTTTTTTGTGCAACGTGAAATCGTGACTGGCCTAAAATATGTTCAGAGGATTTTGAGATATGGAGCTGAAGGTAATTTTACAAGTGAACATTGTGATCTCGTGCCATTATTTTGTTGGGTACTCGGTTGTGGGCATATAAGACTTATCAGAATAAGTCATTAATAAGATGTTCAAAATTCAAATAAAGTAACTTTATTTTCTAGATTAGATATAAACCCTTGGAACTTTAATCAGTTTGGTTTATATATATATATATATTTATGTAACACATCATTGGATTGAAAGTGATTACCTGTTAAAAAGTAACTGTATTACAATGATTTAATAAATAACTTATTAATACCAGCCAAGATGGAGTATAATCTACTTGTCAAAGTAACTTTCTTTGCTGCTGGAATGATCACATTATTAGTTCTCACTCTTTTCCTACAACTTAAAATTTTAAATATCACAGCGTATAATTTAATAACCTTTGGGTTATATTAATGATAAGTTAGTCTTTGAAATTAATTTTATAGTTGAAAAGTTAATTTTGATTACTTTTCTTTGTGCTATGTGAATTTTGTAAAATATTCCCCTTTGATTTTTTTCGGTACAGTTGAAACGATCACTCACATGGTCGGAAGCTACGGTCCAAAACTTGAACTTCAGTCATTCATCACACAACCGGAAGAGATGCCGTCTGGGGTGGCTGCTAGAGGGAAGTACATTGTTAAGTCCTTATTCACCGATGATGACAGAAACGAACACTTGAAATGGGAGTGGTGCTTTGAAATAGAGAAAGACTGGGAGTAAATGAAGAGTACGATAAAGTTCCGCGTGCAGGCTTAAACTTTTGACGGTTATGTGAGGACACATTCCAGTCTAGTATTTCCTGTTGTTTGGTTTATGCTTATTGTTAAGGTGCTTTGAAGAAATAGTTTATAAATAGCTTAAAGACAAAAACTGATTAAATCCATCTGTGCGTGTGTTCTGTACAGAATGGTCGTCGTTTTTGGTGACCTAATTACCGAGGGATACCAGCTTTATTATCGAAGCTGTTCTCTTGTTATTCTGTTCATATTTGATGAAGTAAGGTTTCTGGTGCTTGTCTGCTCTGCACATAGTTTATGGTTAGATAGAGCCTGTTGTGGAAATTTGTTATTGTCAGGCTGGAAGTTGAGGTTACTGAGAAGAAGGGTATTTCGCAACCTGATACTAGTTGGTCTACCTAGAATTTTGTTTGCAATAGGTAAAACTCGTGTTCGCATATTCAGGATCGAGTTTATGTGGATCCCTAAATTTTACCTCTTGGTAGCAAAGTTTCTATTTATTTTGATCGTCACATGATCATTTTCAAAAGAGAGACAAATTTCATGTGCTACATATGTCATGTTAACATGATTTTCTTGGTTTACTTCAAAATACATTGAGATTTTTTTTTTTTGATAGTTATAATGTCACCGAAACAAACTCTCATATTAACTTGTACTTCTGGTTAATGAAGTTAAATGGGAGACGTCCACACTGAGGATTTTTTTATTATCCTTATTATGTAGTTTACATCTTTCTATTGAAGTTTTTGTTCTGGTGTGGTATGATTTTTACATGTAATGTTAAATGCACTTTTATTTTCTGCATTATGTCCATCATAAGTTTTTGTACCAAAGAAAGTTTAGAAAACCTCCCCGTCCTTTGACTTTTGTAAGGTTTTATACCTCAAAAACACTGATATTTCTATGCTCTTATTCCACAGAATTTAGGGTTACACATAACGTATATTTTGAATACTGCTACAGAAAGTAATTTTATTTTGGTAAAGGTTTGTCCTTCATTTCTACTCTTAAAATTTTAAACTAAACAATATGGTGTTTTAAAAACTATTAAAGATAATATTTACGAAGGTTTGAAGTCCTTTTAATCCACCATTTAGTAATTCTGGTTATTAACCAGCGAGTTAAAGGGACTTAAAAACTTCATGAATAATATATACACACCACCGTTGTAAGAAGACTATCTTTATTTCTTTGGTTAGCTGACCCAAGCTGTGCTTACGGCCGTGAATAGGTGAGATTCCTGTCCACAGCAGAGGGTCAAGGAATAAATTAGGCCTCTCCGTCACAATTATATTTTCAATTTTACCTTTGGTGAAGATAAATCTTTAATATTGTATTTTGAATACATTTTAATATACTTTTAACTAACATGAACAATGAAGCAGCAGTTCAGAACTTTTAAAAGCTTCCTGTTTCAAAGTTTAATTATTACAAGAATTGGTATCTAGAAAGAGTAGCACCAAATTGTGTTGGTAATGTTTTTGGAAAAGAAAAGCTTTTTCCCAAAGTTTGAGTATAACAGTGAAGCTACGACAGATGCCAAGTTATTTTCCATGAGCTTGTATAGTAGTTTGAACTGTTAACCAATGCAAGTGATTTCTGTTCACTTGTAAAACGATAGGGGGGAAAAAATAACATTTATGCAAGGCCTAAAATTAGTTGTAACTTAGGAAAATTGTTTCAAATAGTTCTATTGACATTCTGTGAATACATTTCCAGTTACCAGTTGAATACGAAAGATTAATGAATGTTTTAATTATCCTGTACTTATTCAGAAATATAATTTTACATTAATGTGCATATTAGTTATAAACATGTGAAACTGACATTCTAATGTCATATGAACAATGTTATGGTTTTTACAAAATGTCGAGAAAATTTTCAAGTTATTTAAATAATCTTTACTCATCTTTTAAATGATAATTTAATACTTACGTTTTTATTGATTTTGCAAAACTGTGTTCTGAAAAGTACTTTCTTGAGATCACAAAATATTCACTTCTGTCAAACACCACAATATTTTTCTTTTACAAGCACTAGAGGCATTTTTAATAACAACGAACATTCTTTGATTGCCAATTAACGTTATAAACTTAGAACACAACAAAAGTGAGGATATGTCTAGTAAGTGGCATCCGTTGCTTTATGTGAAAAAAAGTTGTCTACGAAGCAAGTGTTAGGCCTAAGGTCGCCGTTACGTATTTTACGCAAATGTTATTCACTGTTCTGCTTCAGTATGAGCTGTGATTTATTCCTCATTTTCCAACTTGCCAAACATTATGAAACACCGATAAAAATGTTCCCTTATTGTAAGACTTTTAATACGGCAACCCTAATCTGGTGGCGACTAACGTAGGACTATCACACAATCGGCGTCATATTTATTGTGTTGCTGTTTAAGTGCTGCAAAATGGATTTTAGTAAATACCACTTTTGGGTTAGTACACGTTGCACAAGAACTGTTGACATTATATAATGGCTGGGCCAAACAAGTATTATTGTAGTTTTTGTTATTGATTTACAATTAGAGATGTGTTTTATGTATCTTGATGTTTTTTTTATCTTTATTTTAGCCATGATTGTTTAAACTAAAAGAGCCTTACATTTATTAATAGAATGAGATAATATACACGTTTCTATATAATTTTGTGTATCTGTGCTTATCCATCTTGATGTATTGGAAATTAACATTCAAATTGGGTGTTAAAAAGTATTATTATAGTTCTGTAATCACTGTTCTGACAAGAAAAAAAAAAATGGTTATAGACTTTCATGACTATTTAAGTTGTCAAGCAAGCACACAAGTCATTCGGGGCGTTTTTTAAAATGACAGATGTATGCGAGAAACATAGTTAAGAGTTATAATGTGTCTAGTTTTACCTTGTATACTCAAAAACATGCTATTTTGGAGGAAACTTAGCAATTACTGTTGAGAGTGTTACCCTTGATTTTCTTGTGCCCCTTTTAAAAATCTCATGTTTTTCAGTAATTATTTTGGAGAATCATAACCGTTATCTTAAATGGTAGAAGAATGTAATATTGATACATTTATCATGTCACGTTATGATACGAGTAGTTTGTGTTAAAACTTTCTAATAGTGAGGAAATCAGAAATCAACATTGTTTTGTTGTCTAATCAGAATAAAGAAAAGGACTTTAATTCTATCTTAAGTTCATTAGTATTGTATAAAACAAGTGAAAGACACTGAAGTTGTGGCTTTTAGGACAAATCAACATGTTTAAATTACCATTTTTTGTTCGATCCAAAGTATCCTAATTCAATAAAACTCGGTGGTAAGTCTGTATGCACCAAAACTTGAGTTTTGATACCCGCAGAGGATAGATAGCCCATTGTGTAGCATTGTGCTTAATACAAAATCAACAGATCTGTTCAATAGTGTTTGATTCAAGTTATAATTTTTGCTTGTACAGATGCTGTCTGAAATTTAGTGTCGCACGGTCGGCAGTGATTTTCTAATGTAACCCAGTGTATGGTACTTACTTTTAAATAAAATCTTGATTTTGAATGTGTAGTAGCAGTACTTGTCACACACACACACACACACTTTAGGGGAATTACTATTAACTGGAAGTTATATGTCTTTGGTTTTGTGAAATTCCTAATCCATGAGAATACACAGTTAAAAATGTTGGAAAATAAATCATTTTAGGATGTTGGACTCGTATTCTGCAGGATGGGCCACGATAATATGATGGTCAACCCTGCTACTCATTGGTAAAAAAGAGTAGAAAAGCCCAACAGCTGGTGGTGCCTGGCAAGTCTCTGTAGCAAGCGGATAGCTTCACCATAAACAATTGTATCATCTTTTGATACAAGTACTGTATTATAATCTTCAGTTTTCTGTAGTAAATATTGGGGTATAAAAGCTATTTTAATACTAGGAATAACAACCTTATTGTATTCTTTAATCAGACATTCGGTGTTTTGTCTTAAAACGCAAACCCTAACTGACAGTATACGACTCGTGTTATAATTGGCATGCTTATAATGAATTGTTATATGACAATAGTGCATACACGTTATTTTAAAAACTAGATCGTTGTTTTCAAGTAAGAGAGATTAAGAACATTACTGGTATAATAAACTGTGAATTAAATTTACCATTTCTTTGTGTTGCCGACTGAAGCATACTCTTACATTGTTTTCCACGAGATGCAAGGAAAGAGTTTAACTAGAAAGAAGAATACGCTGGTGAATGGTGACCCCATCATGCTTTTGTAGACACTGGCAGAACCATCACTAGAGATATTTGGCTGGAGTATTGATTTTAGTCTTGTTGCATATCAGTGGCTAGGTTCTAGTACTTATGTCGACTACATTTCAGCCATGTTATTTTCAAAAACTTTACATATGTAAGATTAAATATCAAGTATTAGTGTAAGGGATATATATATCTTTCATGTAGATAACTGCCTTGTAGCTTTGATGTACGTATTAAGCCGAATAAACCAACCAACAGGTCTCACGGTGAATTCATAATAAGTTTTTGTGGAAATGAATTTTAAATGTAAATGGTTACTTCCAAGAAAAGGTTTATTGAAAAATGAACATACACGAACTAGTTCTATTCTACATGAAACCAAAGGTCTAGTGAGTAACGTCTGTTGAAAGTAATAATAATAGAAACTTCAGTAAACTACACGGACTATTCAAGACACACTAAAATACTAATGAGAAAAGATCCACTGAATGAAAGAGCTCACCTACAAACACATTGAACAGTTAATTCATATTATTAAAAAATAAGTCATTCACATAACGATTGAATCTTTTGTCAGTTCTTTACTTCATCTTCAGTGCAGGTTACTAAAATTCATATTTTTGTACTTAACCTAAATGTTAAAATATGGTAACGGAGACATTTTCACTTATTTAATATGTTAGGTTCCAGTTACTGATCTTATACACCAACTAAATGTTAAAATATGGTAACGGAGACATTTTCACTTATTTAATATGTTAGGTTCCAGTTACTGATCTTATACACCAACTAAATGTTAAAATATGGTAACGGAGACATT